TATGGTCTTTTTTTTTTTTTGTGTGGCTTCCCAAACAGGCTGTGCAGCAAGTTATTTCCAACTTACTCATTGCTCAGATAGAGCTTTGTGCTGAAGATTCTCCAGAGATTCAGCCTTATTCTCATGAGCGGCAGGTTGAGAAAATTGTTGTTCCACTTGGTGAAGAATTGGTAGGAATTCAGAATGCTTACATCCACGTGAGTTGTTGCACTTCTTTTGTTGTTAAATGGGCAGTGTCTTTAAATATATAATCTCCCTTCCTATTTTAACATGTCTGTTTAGATTACCAATAAGTTTTAAAAGTACTACTTTTTTAGGCACTTCACCTTTGACTATAAGTTAAAGAAAAAATCCATGATTGCAACTATAGCAGCTGCTGTGTCACTTTGTACCAGTGATACCTATTACCTTGCAATAACTTAAAAAGCCCTGGTGGAAAACTTACATTAGAATTAGCTTTCTCATCCTCTTTCAGGAGTCCTTTCAAAATTAAAATGAAACCTAAACTGGGGGTTTCTCAATTTGGCTGAGTTTAGTAGGATTAAGATGTTGAGGGTAGCCTTGTGAAAACTCCATATTGACTGAAGCATTTTCTCTGATTAAGAATATTCTGTAGATCTTTAGTTCACCTGTAAGGTTACCTAGTTCTCCTTGATTTTTTGTTTGTTTGTTTGTTTTGGTCTTGGGTTTTTATTTATTTTTCTCTTGAGATTAACTTTTTTCTTTTTTACCAGGAGGTAATGTCCAACTTTAGGACAGATTAGGAGGGGCTAGAACTGTTGGCCATTCAGTGATGACTTAATGGTCTTTGTCATCATGGTAAGGTGTTGGTAGACGGTGCTACATAAGATACTACTTTGAGAAGTTCAAAATTTATGTTTGGGGTTTTGTTTGTTTGTTTGGGTTTTGTTTTGCTTTTTGGGTTGTTTGTTTTTCTTTTTTGTAAGAAACATTAAAAAAGTAGGATTGGGTTAGTGTCAGACAGCGACCTTGGAGTATGCTTTTGGTTAAAGTTAAATGATTTTGGTGTAGTTTGTGAAGACCATTGGAAGACAGACTTGTTTGTTCATTTTCTAGATTGATTTAGGTCAGCTGTTTTCAAACCAGTCATTTAAATGAGGAAGTTCCACTGATAAGATAGAAAAACCTTTAAAGATAGTTTTTATCACTATAGGTGCCTCTGAATGCTTGTACTGAGTGCAGGGATTTCATTTGAGGTGTTTTATGCTGTGAGATTTATGCTGAAATAAGCAGGTAGGTTTGGCTAAGCTGGTGTAATTGAGGAGTACAGACAGATGCTGACTAAATTGTCATTGTGGCTTCAGTGGTTTCTTTTTCCTTTCTTTGATCTGGTATTTACATTTGTATTGCTACTGCTTTACCTAGAAAATACAACTTGTGACAGCACAGAGGGTGTCAAAAGATGGTACCCCAGCCATTTCCAGTTTTTGAGGATAAGCCAAGCCTTAGTCTTAGAGACCACAGCAACATGGCTTCTGTACTTCAATTTCTGTAGTTGTGCAGTTTCCTGCAGCACAGCGATGGACCTGGGCCATGCCCTGCACCTAAGTTACATATTCATCAAGTACATGTTGCATTATCCTTGTCCCTTGACAAGAGAATCGGCTGTGAAGCATGTTCTGAATGGGATCAGGATCTGGGAGGAAACTCAAATACGTACATCACTCTTTCAGTACTGCTTGGTTTCTGTGTGATTCTGAAACCAATCCTACCCTAGTCTGTGCTGCAGTAAGGACTGTGGGAGGCTGTGCTTGATGCTTGACAAAAATCGGGTTGCAGATGGCTTCTGCAGTGAGGAGTAGCAAGTTTGCTAGCAGACCTGCTGGCTACAGCATGTAAATGCATAGCTCCAACTGTACATCTTTATTTCAAAGAATGCATGGGGGTTTTAAAGTTAGTTAATTTGGGGGGGGGGTGTCTTAGAGTGACCATTTCAAATTTGGGCCTTAAACAGCCTTTGTAAAATCAAAGTAGCAATTTGTGACTGCTGCTATTCAAAGGAAAGACATATACTTGTGTGTCTGTTACAAAAATGAAAGGCAGGTGTGCTCTGCACAGTAAGTTTATCTTTAATTTTGACAAACAGTAACAGTAAACAAGATGACATTCCAGTGAAAAAGGAGGACAGTGTAAAACACCACAATGCAACAATGCCAGAGAAAAAAACACATTTATATTTGTATACATACAATAAGCAAGACCCTGAGTATCACAATAGCTGGAATAAACTTTTTAGGCACTAAGCTTGTTTGAAAAATACACAGTATGCAGGACAACATTTGTCTGTTAAGGCTATATCATTTAGTCTTCAAAAAATATGAGTGAATTCTGTTTTATTATCTCTTTTAAATGGTGTCAATCTAATAACTTCAAATTAAAAATGACAATCCAGTAACTAATGGCTTACAAAGTAGAGCCACAGGTGGGTAGCAAGACCTATACTGATAACAGGAGTTAGATAATCATGCTTGATATGACATTTTTAAACTTTCTGAAATGTTGGTTTTGAGTAATAGTAAATTTTCCTTGGCAGTCACTGGATTAACTGTTAAGTAAACTTTATTGTGTGTCAGTTAGAAACTGCAATTCACTGTGCCCCTGCCTGTGAGGAGGGCCAGTTACAGAAGTTGGTACAATGTTTCATATCCATACAGTGTATCTTCAAACTTGAGATTAATTGGTTCTTTATCAGCGGCAGAAGCCATCTAACATAAGTCAAAATCAATACTATCTAGAAATTCACAGTTTTACATAAAATAACATTGAACACTTTGCTGCAGTTAGGATATCAACACATTCAGATAAATACCTTATTTTTATATTTGACTAACAAGAATGTACCTATAACATAGCCACAGCTAGCTGAGTCAAAGCAGTATTTAGGTGAAGATTGACTATGAAAAGAGACATAAAATACAGTAAATGCTTATGCTTTTTTGCGGTACATGCTTAAAATGTAAACTAGATACAGCCTAGTACTGCATGTATGTACTTTATCAGTGTGAGAGGTGATTCAGCTACTTCAATGACTATTTGATATTTGCTGTGCCAAAGCATTAAAATGATTTCTCTAACTGGCGAAAGCAATCAAATTGCAGAAACTCTTTAATTTGCCATAAAATATTGTCAAAGGTGAAAATCGTTTTAATTTGCTCTTAAAAAAATCCTTGGGGTGAGGGGCCAAGGGCAAAACAAAACCTGTTATTTGATGGCTCCCTGGACTCTCTGTGCAAATCAGTTTTAAAAAAACTTGTTGTTTTCCATTAACTTATTAGCTTTCATGTCAATACTGTCTGGAATTTCCAACAATCTGAGGAAATGTTAAAAATAAAAAGCAAAATAAATAAAAATCAAGCAGGAAATAATTTAAGATAGTGAAAAGGAAGTCTGGGTTTTTTTGGGGGGTGGGTTGTTTTTTAATTTTTGGGTGGTTTTGTGTTTTTTTTTTTTGTTTTTTTTTTCTTTGTTTTGAGTTTTTTTGTTTTATTATTAAATATTTTCCCCCTCCCCCAGCTATGATCCTGTATCTTGGATAAATTGAGAGGGATAAAAGACATGACAAGTACCTTCATTGCCTTGTCCTTAAGAAGGAAAAACTTTGACGTGCATTTAAATTGGCACATCAGACAAAGTGATTCCTAGTTGTGGCCACAACCAGCACAGCATTTGTGCTGTCACCTGGCAGACCAGATATGAGAGCTTTCTGTTTGGAATAAGAAAGGTCCCAAACCCACAAATATTTTTGTGATCCCCTCCCCCCATCAGTTTATCATCCAGTTGATTTGTGGCCATACAAGTGTTTGTGCTGGGCTAGTGCAGGGTATCTGGACAATCAGGGATAGCAGACCTTCAGAAGATGGTGGTGATGATTGCTTTTTAAAAATAATTTTCTTTCCCCACGAAGACTTTCAGTTTGTTTGCATTAAAACTAAGGCTCTTCTCTCTATCCATCCCAGTCCATGCCCTCCCTTCTCCTTGTTGTCTTCCTGAGGACTCCGTGGGCAGCAGCCACTGGAGGGAACCTTGGTCAGGCTTAGGGGTGCTCAGCCAGGGCCAGCCAGCACTCTATGATCCTGCTGCTCTGCAAGTGGGTTTAGGTTAAGCATAAAGCCAATTTTGTGCAGCAGAGTGCCTGGTGGAACCAGGAGACTTAAAGTTATTGAGACCTTCCTCATAATGGACTACATAAATCCCATTTGTTTGCCAATTAACTCTACCATAGGCTGGCAGACACTGGCTCTGGTTGTTGTTTTGTATGTTGTAACTGAAGAACACAAAAGCTCTATTTAAAGCCTAAATCCTGTAATTGGCAAATAATTCTGATGCTGTACTAACTTTTTTATATAAAAAGATGTTTACTTTTGTGAAGTGTGAAGATTAAACTCTACCATCATATCTGCAAGGGGAGACATTAAAAAAGGTTTTCTGAGAGCAAAACTGATTGTTACCCTGACTCTGAAGTTTAAGAGGTGTTCTGTAACTGTAGTAAACAGCAAAGCACAAATGCTGCTTTCAGACCTTCTGATGTGTGTAGGACTTTGTGAGCTTGTCTCGCAATCACAGCGTGCTAGACTAGCAGTTGTCTACTTGAAGAATTACCGTATGGATGAAGGGTAAAAGAAACAAGCTGTGACACAAAAAATTTAGCTATCAGAAATAAAAAAAAGAGTTTCACAGTGAGGGTGGTCAAATACTGGAACACAGGGCCCAGTGGGGTTATGGGCTCCTTGTCCCTGGAGATACTTAAAATCAAATTGTGAGGCCCTGGGCAGCCTGCTGTGCCAGCAGCACTGGCCTCTCTTCTGGATCAGGTCAATGACTGGGAATTTCACATGTGATTCTGTGAAATACTATGTTATTTATAACATTAATAGTGTGGAATGGCTAGAAGAGCACAAAAAGTACGGAACAAATTACTTCAGCTGCAGTGTTTTAACATTCAGCAAAATTGCAAGAAGAAAGTGTTCAGAAAACTGAAGTGATAGGAATAGCCACTTTCTATTTAAGAATGCCAGATACAGTAGTGAGATTACTCTGAGTGTGTGATTAAGGTAGCCTGTAACCTTTGCTATCAAATCTTTAATGAGCATTAGGGCTATTCTGCTACCTCAGTCTCATCTCAAGATTAAAAGTACTTTGGTTGAATGCTTTTTGAGGTAAGCATTAAGAATATCTGCTTCACAGATGAAGACATTCAGAGCAGTCAGTACTGGCCTACTCTTAGTCCTTGGTTTAATCCCAGTGGTCTAAACCTGGTAGTTCTCTTCTGAAATGAAGACCTGAATGCTCTTTTTCCAAAGCAGAGCCTACACATACGACTTGGCTTTCATGTGTCCCATGAGCAGCCCCAGCAGGGTCTCTGTGCAGCTGATGCAGTACCAGGTGCCCACAGCAGGCCAAGGGCTCCCGAGGGCTGTCCCAAGCCCCAGGCAGTCTAGGGATACTAGAAATTGATAAGGAGAGAGGTCTCTGCCTCCCTTATCTTGTAAAAAAAAAAAAACCAAAAAACAATAAGGTGAACTAGCTTCTAAAGTGCTACGGATCTCCATAAAAATAGTGTAAAAACTGTAAAAGCAGACATGGGAAAGTGTGTGTGTTTTGGGTGTTTACCTCTGTTGAATTATCAGGTTGGAGTGATTACCTTGCTAACCTGGCTAAAAAACACATTGTAAAATCTTTGAGGGTTTGATATTTAGTCTCCTGTAATTCACCTGTAAGATTCTGCCAGTAAATCGGAGTTGAATCTTGTGACTGACAAGCATTAGGAATGGGAGGCTATGGTCTCTGAAGGAACCATATCTCATTGTGCCGATTGGCAGCAGCTGGATTTGTGTATCCTGCAATGATGAATGTATCTTGCAAGCATAACTCGGGGCTCTCCAGAATTTCCGCCAACAGGTTTATTTCTCTCATTATAGAGTCTTCATTGGTGATTCCTCTGAAGCTCCTGTAACAATCAACTGGATATCAAGTTCTTTTTAAAATCCACAGTTTTTTTTCCAGGGTATAGGAATGTCTGTTCTAAGTTAGTCATGTTTCACACGTGATACTACTTAACTGTTGCTGATCTTGAACAGCAAACAGCTTTTTCTTAAAATTTCAGTGATACCTCAGGTGCTTTGTTCCCAGTTATGCAAAGTAGTCTGTGTTTTGACATGCTGTTATAGCTCACATTTACATATGCATTGTTTTACCAAGTAAGCTGGTAACCATTAATTCCTGAATATCCCTGTTTCATAAAGCAGGCAGCTTTTAACAATTACTGAAAGCCAAGTTTTACTGTTTGTTAGCTTTTAGAACTTGACTGAGAAGATGTAATGTGCCCAAATTGAAAACTGCATCTCTTTACTGATTTTACTATAACAAAATTAAAATGTTTCTTACCTACTATAAACGATAGTAGAAGGCCATTCTTCAATGATTATGTCAGAGTCAAAAGGATGAGGTGGCTCATCCTGCAGCAGTTCGGGCAGGTAGTATGCTACTGTCACTGACTGTCTCATCTCAGATTGAGATTCGTTTGTATGAACTATGGTCACAATGGGTATTGTTATCCCCAAGTACAGTCCTGAGGAGACAGACAGGAATTTAGTAGGATGTTTTAGAAAATGGAGTTGTGTATTCTAACTTGAAACAAGCATTTTATTATGCTTTGTAGTTTGTGTGTATATATATGTAAAAAACCTACATGTGCAAATATGTGTGCCTGTGTGTATAGAAAGTAGTATTTTGTGAGCATTCCTGTCTTCATGTAAGTCAGGGAGTTTGACTTGTTTCTCCCTCAGGAGATGGTTGTGTTTATCTTGTAAACTGACCTTGTGTTGCATTTTAAATATTTACGAACAAAGAACAACATAGGAAGTAAGATAAGGGGGCTGCATTGTGAATTCATTTAGGATTTGGAGTTACCTAAAAATGTTGCTGTATTTTTGCAAAGCTGTAAGAGAAGGTTGACTGTTTTGCCTGTGCAATAGCAGTGATGATTAGGAGTGGGAACTTTGCTTCTGTACACAGTTTGAAAACAAAACTGCAATGTTCTGTTGCCAAAATTACTTTTAATCCATATCAAAGTGTTAAAAGAATGGGGAGAGTGGGGGAAATACCTAACTAAGGAAGAGCTTCTGTGATCTGTATTTCTGGTTTCTTGGAAAGAGGATAAAGGGTTGACTTGATTACAGCACATGTACTACTACAGAACAAACCACTGTTTGTTGCAAAACTTCTGAATCAACTGGAGAATGGGGAAAAAAGTGATGTCTGGAAGCTGAAACTAGATTAAGACAGATTGGAAACTAGGTGCATGTTTGTCATGCAGGCACAAGCTATCAAAGACATGGTGGACTTGCTATTGTTTTAAAGTACTTGAGTTAAAACTGGGTTATTTTTTTGAAAACAGGCTGCAACCACATGCTTTTTTGGTGTCCACTCAGACATGCACAGTTGGAGAATCATAAAGTAAAATAAGGATGCAAAATATTATGGTCTATTTTGTCTTATGCTCTGAATATGTTCTTAGAATAGACGATTTCAGCACTGATGGGAAAACTAACCCACTAAAATTCCATAACAAAGACCTAATTTATAGCTGACAGCCTACAGAAATAGCCAGTGACAATTCCCAGACAGCTGTGGTGGTGGCAATACCCTAGAAACAGGGATGGTTTCCCACATATGTTTGCTTCTTGTCTGTACGCAGAGGGAGCAGCCCTTTGGTTCAGACTCTGCTGCAGAGGCTGTTACAGGGAACTGTCCCAATATACAGGATGGGGTATTTAGAAAAAGCAAATAAAAGTCTCCCAGATTAGGAGGAGGTAGTGCATAAACATAACATTTTGACAGGAATGTGGAATTGTGGTACTAGTTACCTGAAGAGTTCTGCTCACAAATGTATCTCATCAGCTTCATGAATCCAAGGCATATGCTCTGTTCATACTGTTTCTCTTTCATTTTTATACAAGCCCATTTGGCTTTTCCATACTGACGTTTTTCATAAAGCAGATCTCCAAGCTGCAAACACAGTAAGATAATTTTTAATTGAAGTTAATAATCTAAACCCCTGAGCAAATAAAAATCAACTAGTATTTCAGTGCTTTACTTACAGCATCAAGACATCCGCTTCTCTAGGTGTATGACCATCATGAGAATGATTTTAAGTCTATGCCAGCCTCTACCTTAAGTGCGTACTTTTTAACAGTTCGCTTGTGCTTCATTTCGAGCTACAAGCTGGCATAAGTGTGCATCCAAAACCAATGCAGTGTGTGTCTCTTACAAGAGTAACTGCATCTTTTTTCAATTGTCAGTGAAACGATCTTGAAAGGAAGATGTGAATTTTAAGTCTTTCTCATACAAATTGAGAGGGGAGATACTGCTGATTTTGGTCCAGAATTTATTTCAACATACTTCTAGGCGGTTCTCCTTTAAAATAAGGAACTGTCATCTTTTGGACTTGCAGTGTTGTCCTGCATGAATTTAATTGCAGCAGTCAGGAGTCCCAAACTGTTTAGATGAAATACACTCAATTAAATAGAGATATTTATAAATTTGCATTACATGGATTTATTTAAAATAAATGTGACAAGAAGACTTGATATATGGTTAGTAAAGGTTTTCTTGGTTTGTCATGTATTTAAGGATAGACACTTGTTTGCATACTTCCTGAGAGGTAAAAAATTTGCTGGGCACCAGTTTCTGTTTTCGTTAGAGGATAAGATTGTTTTGGTAAGATGGGTTGACAAATTGCTGCTTTGTTTGGTTATAACCCATCATGCAAAAGTACATGCTTGGTTTTAAATTCAGATATTTATCTTTTTCAAGTACTTTTTGCTAATGCTTTATTAACATGAATGTGTAAAGAAGCAAATGCATTGATTTAAATGAAGGAAACAGGAATATAAAAATATGAGGTGTATTTTGGTTCAATTATTTAGAAAATGTCACAAGTACTGTAATTCCTGACTATCTTCTGACTTTCCCAAGAGTTAGAATGCTTTGCACTTATGATGTTAAACATCCTAAATGGTTGAAGTAACTTTATAAAGAAACATACTTTTGGAAACTAGATATGCATACTGAAAAAGCTGTCAAAACCTCTGCTGGGGAGGGAAGCAGTACCTTTTCTTTGCGCTGGATCAGAGTAAATGGGATAGTCTGTCTCTCCTGGGGATTGTTATTTCTAGTCAGCTGCTGAATTGGCTCTGCCATTTCTGCAACAAAAGAACATTTCTGATTTTAGTCATCAGGCTGGAGAAATAAGGATGAAATGCATTCCATTCTTTCTCTTAGCTAAACTTCAGGGGACTTTGTAACAATTTCAGTTCAATTTTGATAGAAAAGGTTAACTGGCTTCTGTTTCTGTGCTATTAGGAACAGATTCACTCTCCCACTCCTCATTTATTGCAATTATACAGGCGTCCATGGAAAGCTTTTGGCAGTGACTGGTTTTCTGGATCTGTGCAGATGCTGCTGCCCATTTCAGAAACTTTCAGTGTTGGATTCATGTGTATCCACATGAGGAAGTAAATTGAGTTTGCTGCTCTCATTCACACATTCAAAGAAATACTACTGTGGAGACTGCATTTCCACATGGTGTTTTATGCCCAGTGTTTTATTTCAGCATTTGGTATTATGCACATTTCATCACTAATCATCTGGTGTTACGTCAGTGGAGGGCCACCCAGCTGGTTAGGGCAGGGTGAAGCATAGGAGGGGCTGGGAAGACCTGATGTGCTCACACTGGCGGGGGGGAAGTGAAGGGGGGGGGGGGGTTGAAGTGCAGAAACTGTAGATGAGGGAGGGGAGAAGTGTCCTGTTGAAATTCCTCAATGTATACTTCATTGAAGAACTGTATCTTAAAAAGATATGTGAATGCTTAACAAAAAAAATTAGAACATAGATTTGTGTTACTTGCTTTTTGTTACAAATTAGTTTTATGCCTACGTACTGTCTGATTAGACACCAAATACATTAGATGAAAGGTTTTATTTCTGTTTGGAAGGGACAGAAGACTGTTGACTTAGAATAAATATTAACATTCTAGAAAAATTGAAGCATAACTTGTATAAAGGTGGGAGTAGAGCAAAACAAGTTTCAGTGTTCTTTTTGTCAGGTTCCATTGCATATAACAGAAGAACATAGAGCGGTTCAAAATTCTCAAATAGTCACAGTCACCATAAAGCATTGGTAAAGATAAAATGGGATGCAACATTATTTGGCTCATAAGGACACTGCTTTGCATGCTACTTATGCTTGCTGTTGCCTGGTGTCTTGCTCCTTGGAGCAAGAAGGACTCAAGAGCACAGTCTGACATGTATTGTCACCTATGGTCTGAATGTGCACATTTTGGTGGTGGATCATTAGGTAAAGGAGAGTGTTAATAGTTGACTGTTACTGAAGAACTCTAAGCACCTGCATGCTCACTTACCAGTACTGGGATGGAGCTGAAATGTGCAGTGACTTTTCGAAAGATTCTCACGCTTTATAAGAAATGAAGGAGCAAATCTCTCCTATTCCCAGGTGTAGTCACGCTAGCAATCCTTCTGTCTGTATTAACCGTTAAATTTCCCAGCCAAACTCACATGGATAGAAGGGGCAAGTATATTATACTTGCATAGATGATACTAGCCTATTCTAGTACTTCTAGTTTTGTCATTTAAATATGATTGGATTAGTATATTTGCAGCTATGGTTGCCCTGACATCAATTCTAGCTGCAATTCAGAAACAAATTCTGCTTAAAAGTTGATCCCTAACAGACAGGCTTTGAAACTCTGAATATAAGGTTAGTCTTAAGAATGGAAAGCCTCTCTTCTAGAAGAGTTAGTCCCTTGTTTGTCAAAGTTGAAGTAATACAGACATTTGTGTACTTTGATAGAGGATTAGAAATTTGAATCTTCATGTGTAGTATTTGGAAGTGTGGATGTGGATTTCTGTGATATATATTGGACATACATTCAATGAAATAAGAGCCTTTCTCTTAGGTGTTTTAACTGCCTCCGTGTTTTCAGTGGAAAAGGCAGGATGTTGGAGGAAGAAAGCCTTATCCATGTTTCAGAGAAGAAGAGAATTAAGATGCAGTAGAATTAACCTGGTTGCTTAATATATTTGTAGCTGAGCTGGTAATCAAACCTACATCCCCTGGCATTCAGTGCAGGGGTTTTAGCTTTAAGACAATTTGGAGTAGTAAAGATCCTTTTAATAAAGGGGAGAAAGCTGCACTTCAGTTAATTTATTTTTTTTTTTTTAAGTCATTGGGAAAGTTTTAAAATGTAAGTAATAACTGACTAAAATGTAAGTAATAACTAAGAGAAAGTTGAAAGTAGGTTAGACTTCAGCACTGAATTTTCTGCAGAGAACTAGTAAACACTTTAGGATTCTAGAACAATTAACTCTATTTTCATATTCCTTTACCAATAAATATGGGGAGGTGTTATATTTTTCCTTTTTTCTTCCATATTAATGCATGGGATAGGGGGATTACAATTAAAGTCCTTTCAGGAGTTTTATTCTTCAGTTGGTGAATCCATGTCTGTCAGGCATATTTGGATTAGAAATATTTTAACCTGCAAAATACTTGAGATTATACTGCCCAAAAGCAAATGAGCTGCTTGGTTACATGTCATCTGTCAGTCCCCACTTGTGAACTTGAATACTGGTGTGACTAAAAAGGCAAGGGGAGTTGTAGCCATGTAGGTAGGTGAAGGCTTGATTTAATTACATTTCAAACTTGTAATGACAGTTGCTACTATGGGTATTACGAATAAGGCAAATCTTTACAAAGGGATATATATAGGTGAGGTATGCTTGACAGGACATGTTCATAACAGCAAGACTGAGCAGTATTTAAATTGTGGCATATCTTAATTGGTGTCTAATTGGACCTGCTGGGAGTCTGACTGATGTGGGATGTACTTGTCAGATGCGCCCTTAATAATGTACATAATGTACAAAGTTCACGCAGAACTTTGTGATTCTAGAGAAGAAGACAGCCTTTGTAATGCAGAGAACCAAAATTTTCATGCTGAAGAGAACTGCTAGAACTGCACCTTGGAGAGAAAGAGGTGCGTGTGGTGGCAGGCTTGAGGCTGGATTTCAGTGCAGGGACCCAGGGGTGGAGACTCTGCTCCTTCCGTGCACGTTTCCTGCAGCAACTTCCCTGAGCTTGTTTGTTAATGAATGTTCTTGTGTAGAAACTAGAGTTAAAGAATTTAAAAGTAACCACTGTAGTATGTTTTCTGCATACTCTACATACATAAAATGGAGTTTTCAAGCCAAGAAAGTTAGGTTATACCTTTCTGCACCCTTTGTTGTTTTTTTTTTTTTTACCTTTTTGTTGCAAGGTTTGGCATAGGTTGGTCAGTCTTAACAGGATTAAGATCCTGTTAGCAGAGTTAAATTGCAATGGCAGCCATATAGATTCTTGTTGTTCACATCTCCCAAAGGCTTAGGTTTTTATTTTTTTAGAATGCTTGCAGTGTTGCTGTTAACTGTAAAAGGTGCTAACAAGCTACAAAGCAAGTCACCTTTTTGAAAGGTATGCTGTTGAATGAATTGGGTGTAAAAGCCTGTGGCAGTGTGGAACTATTGATGAGAGGGTTGGCAGTGTTCCTGTTTTGCAGACTTCACCACTAGACTACAGGAGATGCAGCACTTGAGACGTTAACAACAGGATGTGAGTCTGCAGTTACCAGACTGGCAGTCAATAGCCAAGTAAATTTCTTGTATTTTCTTATTGTGAGTCCAGCAGCTTGGTTGGGGCACACTAGTCCAGAGTGGCTGCCTGCTCCTGAGTGCCAGGGAGGATTTCTCCCCTGAAAAGTCCTATTGCCTCTCTGTTCCCTGAGGCTCAACTACACTACAGCTGACTGGATGCTAAACAGAGATATTAACAAATGACTTGAACTTTGACTGGAACATGTGAACAGCCTAAGGGTTTGCCAGATTAGTTTCACTTGAGATGTAACCAGCTCCTCACATGCAGCCCTGAACAGAGGCTGAAGGAAAATCTGTTTAGATTTTTGTAAAGATTGCTTAGCATTACAAAGTAAACCTTTTATAATACAGTAACTAAAATGTGATAAAATATTACTTCTGATGTGTTTTCTAGAGTTGAGATCTTGTCTAACAGATACTGGGAATTTCAATCCCTCGTTTCATGTATTGGAATATCAGATCATTCTATGGGAAGGAATTTGGTTTTCTTATACACAAAGCTGCTCTTGAGGAGCAGCTTAGTGCCTATCTGTGCATTAAATTAGGAGCCCCTCTCCTTTCCTAGAAGAGGGTGAAGCTGTCAGGTTTGATGCACTGGTCACATGCAAACCCACAGCTGTTGGGGTGTGTATTTGAACTCCATGGGGTGACACCACTGTTGTGGGGCAGCCCAAGACCCCTCCTCAGGGGGCAGGGAGAGCAGGGCAAGCCAGAGAACTCTGTTCAGACTTTCTTTTAGTACCTGATGGGGTGTTAATTGTCATTTGTTAAAACATTAGAAAGAGAAGATAAGGCTTCTGGGCATGACTGAAGAGGAGGCTGTACCTTCTTTGTTATGTTGGGATATAGAAAAATTTTTTGAGTAACAGTTGTTTCACGGTGGTCATATGTGGTAGTACGTTGCTCAAGGCTTTACTGCCTCTGAGAAGGTGAACAGGGGAGATGCTGAAAATCGACCTCTTGCTTCTGGGCAGGACACAAGGTAACTTGGAAACTCACAAGACTCCCAGTGAGCTAAGTTTCCAGTTACTCTGCTGCTTGTTGTAAGTTATCTGACTGGTTACAGGCTTTCAGATTCTTAAGTTTTTCTTAAATTGAAAGTAAACCATTTCCGAATTAGACAAGCCTGGGAGGCTTACTGTCAGAAAGCTAGGTCAATCCTTTTACTTGTTTACTCTGCACTGTCTTTCAGTTCAACCGTCTTTAAAAAACTCAGTAGTCATAAAATCATAGATTGAGGTTGGAAAGGACCTCGAAGATCAAGTGGTCCAACTAACTTTTGGAACTGACGTTTTGGAGAGGTGCAGGAGATACTCTTAAGAATGTTTTTGCATGTAGTCAGTTTAATAATTAATGCTTTTTCGGGTAGTGATTAAATATTAAGAAGAATGGTTTTGTAGGTAGTCATTTAAATATTCAGACTAAAATCTCACATCAGTTCTTGTAAGTATAAATAGGTCAGTCACCTACTACATCTACTTCTCTCAGAAAAGCCTCTCGAATTGCTCCGCGCAAAGCTTTGCTCAGACTTTATGCCTCGGAAGCGTACAGACCTGCGGTGGGATAGTCATCTCCCTCAGTCCTGGCCCTCCCCGGGGGGATCGCGCATCCCCCTGTACCAGCCGTGCCCGGCTGCCCCGCGCTGCTCCCGGCCCTTCCCCACAGCTCTCTGGGGCCACCAGCAGGGTGCCGGCCCCGAGGACAAGCTTCCCCTGGTCTGCGGCGATCGGGGAGGCTGGCAGAGGCTCCACCACTGCCGTCCGGTGCCCCGCGCAACGGCCGCGGGGCTCCCGCCGAGGAGCGTTTCGCACGGGGCTAGAGGGGGACACCCAGCGGCTGAAGGTCAGGAATAGCCGGGAAGGTTACGGTATCGGCAGGTAAACTCAGAAATCCCGCCTCCCTAATACCCCTAAAGCCCCGCCGGCTGCTGCGGGCGTAAGCGGTTTAGCGCGGCCCGGACGTCTCTTACCGCGGGGCACGTCCACCTGGTGCCCCCTGCCCACGCTCTGCCAGTAGCTCAGCAGCCGCTCCTGCTCCTCGTCCTCCATGCGCTCTGCCGCCTCCTCGTCCGGGCTGCTGCCGTTGCTGTGGTACGCCGAGTCGGCGCTCTCCTCCGCCATCCCGTCCAGGTCCTCCAGCGTGATCATCGCTGGGGCGCCCGGCTCCGCGGTGCCCATGCGGCACCCTCCCGTCTCCATCGCGCCGGGCCAGGAGGGGAGCGGAGCGAGCTGGGCTGGTCCGGGCTGGCCTGGACGCGCTGCCGCCGCCGTGCCGCCTTATGAAGGGTTCTCCCTGCCCCGGGATTTGCGGGCGGGCGGGGAGCACTGACACGCGCCGGGGCGGCCCCCGCCGAGGGAGGGATGGACGGAGGGAGGTACGCTGGCCCCGCACTGCCCTCCCGCGCGGGCTGGCAGAGCACGGCACTGCCAGCGCGACTTTGCCAGCCAGCCTGATGCTCTGTAGGTTCGCCCTTGGTGTTGTAGGATCCAAGCAGTGTAGATCTCGAAGTTTGTTTCGTATGTTTTTTCGCTGTTAAGTCTCTTTCTTAGCTATTTTCTTCATCATCTTTTTCTCCCTGCTGCTCATCAGGTCCTGTTAGTCCTTCTTTATTGTGACTTTCTTTTAATGTTTTCAAATAAAGCTTGAAATACAGGTTTTTCACTTTGGGAGTGTCTGCGAGGTCATTCCAAACTGGCTCCAGCCTGGAGTGCAAAAGCCATGGGTCATTTCATTATTGGAAGTCGAGCGCTACATGATTTTGCCATTGCTGAGGCAAACCTCTCTGAGAAAGAGGGGCATGAGCAGGCCTGTCCTGTGGATGGCTATGACAATTAAAGTAGGATCTGAATTTGAATCAGGGCTCTATGTGGAGTCTGTAATTCTATTTGTAGTTGTCTTTCATTACAACTTTCATGTGAAATAAGTGGGCAGGCAGGAAAAGGGAACCTCTGAGCTTTTAGAATTTTAGGATAATAGGAAAATAGTCCTCTCATGTCCACTAGTGAGATGCTTGCAGGAGGATACCAAGGGTTAGGGGTATAACTGTTGACTCTGTGATGTGATCCTTAAATCTCTCCCCCTCCACTTTTATTTTCTTTTCTGACCAGTATCTTTCAGCTGAGGTTCCCCAGAGCCTGATCCTGGTGTGAAAATGAAGTGTTAATTGCCCCAGAAGCCAGAGCTGTGCAAGTCCTGACTGCACACTTCTGACAATACAGGTTGAAATCCTGCCGTTCCTATGAAGTGTTTCTTCTGTTAGTCAAAGCTGACCAGCCAAGGACTGTTGTTTCTTTGAGAAATACAGGAGCAACTACCAGTGGGAACATCCTGAGAGGACAGTCTTGACCTAGTGGATTTAGCATGTGGGTATGTTTTGCAGAAAAGTGGGATGCGCTGGGTGCAGCAAGTGAAGCAGATAGTTCTACTGCAAGGATGCTTGGCTTCTTATCTGTGGGCAGTCTGTCAGCATCACAGGCGCTTCTCTGATCTGAAATTCACTGAGAAGGCAAATCCTTGCCAAATGTTGGCTATAATGCTTCAGGGTTTGGTTGGGTTATGATTTGATTTCAAGGTCAACTACCTAGTGTGCAGAATTGCAGGATTGATTGAAATCATGCTGAAGCACTGTATTTTCTGGCAGTTACCTGGTTTTCCTTGCAAAAGGAAGTTCCTTGAACTTCCCTTGTGGAGCAGCTACATGGCCATGGGTAGGTACCTTGAAGGAAGGCACAATGGGAATCAATCCGTGTCACAGGTAATGTCTAATCACATGTTAGTACAGTGCAAACAGTGGCTTCACTTTTGTGGGAAAGGTATTTTTCATGCAATTTTGGAAGTTGGATTATTGCTACCAAGTAAGGGCACCCTGGCTCTGGGTGATTTCTTCCAGGAAACTGTTTTTTGAGAAGAGCTGACCTTTTGAGGCCAACCTGTAGAGGCTCTTCTGCTGCCTGTCCTGCAGAAATAATTCTCGCACTTTCTCATAGAAAACAGCCTCACGTCATTTGTTCAAGCAGTAATTGTGCAAATGGATAGTTGCTAATTATTTCTGTTGTGGAGATGGGGGAAAAAAACTCAGGAAAAAAACAACAACCAGAAGAATTGTCTAAAATCACAGCTAAATTTCTCTATTTGTGAGAAATGCCACCAAGTTTTGACTGGTTACCTGTGCAAAAGAGACTGGTGGGAGCTTCAGATCATGCTTTAAAGATCTACTGGCACAAATTACTGTGTGTGTATTTTGTTTGCCTTTGGTTTGTGATGTGCTTAGTAATTACAGGCAAAGGGCTGTGTTTGATAGAGTACTGAAGAAGATGTTCTCTCAGCTCAGATAACAGAGTAACTGTTACAGGAGTTGAACAAAGCCATTTGCTATTGTAATTTCATGTGTGACTGTTGGCTGATAGTCACTCTTGACATAATGTGGTTTTGGTAGTTTGGTATTCTTTGTGCTTTCCTGGCAGGTTCTATTGCTGAACATAAAAGAAAAACAAATACTCAGCCTTGCAAATTGAGGATATGAAACATCCTCAGTACGATGCTTTCTGTGCTGTGCAAAGTGATGACATTTCCTGAGTGGCAGATGGATGTAGAAAAAAACACTTCCTTCTTACAACTTTGCAAGTTAAAGAGTAAAAATATTCTCAGTGAAATTGGTTGAAAGGTAAAAAGTGCAAGCCTGCTTTTTCTGTAACTTCTAAGAAGTGAAAAATGTTGTAATAAGAGAAAGCAGATGCTAGAAGAAGCCAAACTATCGTATCTTTTTGATAAGTGCCAGCTTCTAGGGAAGAGCCATGTAACTTCAGTGTGAACAGCTCCCTGGGGAGTGGAAAGACTGTGAAGGATGAAGAAGTGAATATAAACTTAGCAAGAAAACTTTCAAAGGCACTGAGATCATTACTAGGTTGATCAGTATTGGTTTGGGAGAGTTCCAGTATCTGCTTAAAACTGGTGTACCCTGCTGTGTCCCTGATACTTTATTTTTGTCGTTGGAAAGGTAAGAAAGTGTCAATAGAATGAATGCTCACACAAAACAGCACTTTCCTCCCTGTTGTTTAAAGTGAGTTTAAGGATGCCAGAGAGGGACTCTTCATGAGGGACTGTAGCTCTAGGGCAAGGGGTAATGGGTTCAAACTTAAACAGGGGAAGCTTAGGTTAGAAGAAGCTCTTCCCTGTGAGGAAAGTATTTCCCTACTCCTGGTTTTAATGGTCCTCTGTTAAGTCAGACCAGTGGGTGTGTTGACGTTCCCATACAGCTATAGGTGTGACATTACCTCACCAACGCACAGACCAGTTCCATTTTAGCAGCCTTCCAGTACCTAAAGGGTGCAACAGGAAATCTGGAAAGGGACTTTCTACAAGGGCCTATAATAACAGGACAAGGGGTAATGGCTTTAAGATGAAAGAAGGGAGATTTGCATTAGGTACCAGGAAGAATTTCTTCCCTATGAAGGGTGGTGAGGCACTGGCACAGGTTGCCCAGAGAAGCTGTGGCTGCCCCAACCCTGGTAGTGCTCAAGGGCAGGTTGGACAGGGCTTTGGGCAGCCTGGTCTAGTGGAAGGTGTCTCTGTGCATGGCTGGGGGTTGGCACTAGATGAGTTTTAGGGTCCCTTCCAATTCAAAACAGTCGGTGATTCTGATTTTCTTCCACACCAATTCTGCACCTTGTCCAGCTCATTTGGAAGGGGTCTGTGGCCTATTTGGGCATTGAAAACACTGGAGCTGGTTGGCTGGGAGAGCGGGGGAAGGAGGTGAAGGAAATGGCAGCTCTTTTTACGTACAGTGTGACTGTATGAACCCCTGGTCAGATCTGCCAGTCGGAGCACTCAGAAAGTTTCCTGGCACTTTGCCTTTCCTGTGGACAGAAGTGGACCTTCTGAGTCTTTGTTTTGCAAAGGAACAGTCTACGTAGAGGCTATTTTCTCTCAACCTGCTCCCCCACTTTGAAATAAAACGGTTGTTTATGCCTGGCAGATTTCTTTTTTGTCTTTGGTACAGAATACTTGCAAACCCGCAGTGAAATAATTAGTCTGGGTCATTTGTTTAGAGCCTTTGTTTTTTATTGTGCCAATTAACAGCAGTTTTTGGTGAGGTGTAGCTGAAACAGCAACAGTTCTTTGCCCTGCCAGTTGTGCTTGTAATACACATGGTGCTCCTCAGCTAATGTGGCTCCAAGCTAATCTCAGGTACAAGTTTCAAAAAAACAGTGTGATTTGCTATGGAAGATATTCAGCAAACCCCCTTATGTTCTTGCAAGTTTAGTGCAGTATGGGATAACTTTACCAGGTGTCTTTTATATATTGGTAGTAAATCTGTCAGTTTTTTGAACTCTGAGAACTAGAGATAAGCCTTGAGTCCTACTAAGCAATTAATTTAAATGAATTCTACAGTTCTGTTTTTAAATAGGTAACATAAGACTTGAATGTTTTGGAAAAAGTGAGCAGACTTTCCAGAAGTATTATCTTTTTAATTAAAAATAAAGGTATGGAGGCAAGATAAATGCAATCACTCTGAGCAGTGCTTGTTTCTGTATCTCCTCTAAGTAGGTTATGTTTGCTGTTCCTTATTAGTTTTGAAGCTCCAGGTGACTGGATCCTGCTGTCTTTCATAATAGTCTTCCTTGGTTTGTTTTGCAGAAGATGATTAAATCAGACAGGGCTGTACACTGAGTGAACAGTGACAATGTAATTTTCTTACATATTATAAACTAGGTCAAGGGATGAAACAGAAAAGTACATGTAATGGAAATTTCTTTTTTAAAAAAGCTATGCAACAAGTACAAGAAATAATAAACCAGGTCTGGAGCATTATACTTATGTGGCCATTACTTTTCAATGAAAACATTAATTTCTTTTCTAGAGAAACATCTTTGCGTTCAGAGACTGGCTCCATTTTCACTACTTGAGGCATAGTTTAAGCTTCATCTTCAGCATTTCAATTGTGGTCATGTCTAGCTCTTTAGGGTTTGATGGGAGGTTAGAGAGCTATGTCAGTGGTATCCCATTAAAATAAAGAGCACTAAGTTATCCCTTGCATGGTTAACCTTTTTTTGTTTATATTAAATGACTCTTTTTTTTATAAGCTGGCATAGATATTTCCATCTCTGCCTTTTTAAATGACTTTTCAGATACAGGCCAGATTTAAAAACAACATAATAACAAACTGGTAAAAGATGAACTTTTGAATTTCAAATTCTTAACACTAAACCAAGTATGAGAAATTAAGTTATTGTGCATTTAGATTTCCAAGTGGCTCAGTGAAAGTTTTTGACTCTATTTTAAGAAAAGATTTATTTTTTTTTTTCCTCTGGAAATTCCCAGCAATATTGTGGTTTCCAATTTGTGTCTGCTTATTGGTGGTGG